GTCTTAGTTTCATGGGTAATCTGTTCCACATAAATGGACCAAGATATGAGAAAGATCTCTCTCCATATGATTTGTATGATTTTACAGGTGTCACAAGTAGGGTGTTATCGTTCGATGATCTTAGGTTTCTCCCTGGTTTATATATACTGATAAGTTCTTGCAGATAAAAAGGAGCAGTTTTATTTACACATGTGTTTCCATTTTTTTTAAAATGATAGGTCCACCATTTTTTAACAATGTGGTAAAAGAGTTTTCCTTGATTTGACTTCTAAATATTTTATTTTGAATTATTTTGAGGGTAGGGTATGTTATAAAAATGAAAACTGTTTTTAAAAGTTGTTAAAACCTATTCTTGAAGCACGTTTTCTCTTCCCCGTTATGTTTTACCATTAAATTCTAATCATGATATTGATGTCAAGTGAATACCGAATTGGAAATTAAATTTTCATATATAAATACATTAGACACAGTTGAATCAAAGTTTTTTTCCAGTTTGTTTGTGTTCTAAACTTAATAGCTAATTTTCTCAAAAGTAGATCTTTATACCCTACCTTGCAAAATGTGCAATATCTCAAAAACTACTAGAAACATCTCAAAAATTAAAAAACCCACTGTGTTCAGCATTGAATGTCCTATTAAATACAATCTTTGACTCAAAATGATTAAAATCCGACTTTTGGTACCTTTCTTTAGGCTCACATACATATCACATGATTGTTACATGACTGTAAATACACAGTTTAGATCATTTAGGAGCCATGCGTCTGTGATGTAGTGATTAGGCACATTGCCGTAGCCCACAGATTGCGTGTTCGATTCTTGAGTGGGGAGAATTTTTATCGAATTTTTCCGTCTGAAAAACGTAAGAATGGAAGACCAAAGATGACATGGAGGCGAGCGGTACACGCGGAAATGGACAAGGCGGAGACATCATGGAAACAGCTAGAAAAGGATGCACAGGACAGGCTTCGCTGGAGAAATGTTGTTGATGGCCTATGCTCCACTGGGAGTTAAAAAGGGCAAG